GGCAGAGGGTACTGCGAGAGACACAGTCACTGATCAACAACGGTGAGTGCTGGGCGCTCTGCCTGTCCCTCTGCCCGAAATCTCTCCAGTGAATGGAGAGAGGCTTCACATTTAGAGTCAGTTAGGAAATATGGAGGCTCCAGGTATGTTTCTGCTGTTTACCTAAAACTGATTAAAGACTGGAGCAAATAGGAGCAGGAAGGGGAAGGAGAGGGGAGGGAATGCAGCCCTGCATAGCCCTAGGCAGCAGTGGGTGAGGAACCCCATCCTGTGCCCCCCAGCACAAGCACCCAGGGAAGGGCAAAGGCCAGCCCAGCCCTGAGAGGAGCACAGTCTCCTCAGAGAGCAACCCTGTCCCAGGGGTGTGAATATAGACACTGCCAAATATTTGGGTTTACTTCTACCACCACATTAAACCAGCACAGCTCACAAACAGCAGTTGGGGGAAACAGGCTGGGCTGCAGGCTTGGAATCTGCTGTGATGTACTGGGGGCAGCTGCAGCCCACAGGGGTCAGAGGTGACCATAGGACTCTGGCGAGCCAAGCAGTGAAGCCTGAGAGCTCTGAGAGTCAAGTGGAAAATCTGGAGGATGTTCATAGTTTTGCTTTAATTCTCTCCAACTTGCTAGACACAGGCTGAGCTCCTGCCCCTGGGGTCAGTGGAGGAATTTCCTCATGGAAAGGGCTGTCAGGCATTGGAAGGGGCTGTCCAGGGAGGTGGTGGAATCACCATCCTTGGAGGTGCCCAAGGAACAACTGGACATGGCACTCAGTGCTCTAGTCTAGTTGACAAGGTGGTGATGGGTCACAGGCTGGACTCGATCTTGGAGATCTTTTCCAACCTGAATCATTCTGTGATCTGAAGAATGATCACAGCTTTGATTCCCACCTGCCCATGGCTCCCTCCAACCCACAGCCTCCTGTCCCAGCAGCCTCTGCCCCACATGTGACCTGCAGGTACTCACCCTGAGCCCGCGGGGGTTCAGCACCTTGGGGTTGCGGGAGAAGTGCATGTGGAGGCTCCCATCATCGCTGACACTCACTGCCACCTTCTTCAGGGTCTTGTTACCACAGTGGGGGCAGAACACCTTGGTCATGTCCGAGGTGGTCCTGGGGGCAGGAGCAGAGGGGCTCAGTGCTCCCTGGGCCGTGGAACACGGCTCAGCCCAGGAGCAGGATGAGCCCCAGCCCCAGCTCACACCTGAAGCAGCCGTGGCAGCGCAGGATGTAGCTCCGAGCCTGGCGGATTAGCATCCCGTTCACTGCCAGCACGTGGAGGCCCATCTGCAGCAGCACGTTCTGCAGGAGGAGGGAGAAATCAGCACACTGTGAGCTGGGACTGCTGGGAGGGTTAACTGGGCTCTGCAGCCTGGCAGGGAGAGAGGCCAATGGCAGTGACACCCACAGCAGTGACACTGATGGCAGTGACACCCACAGGCCTTGCAGAGCCCTCTAGGATGGAGACAACTAGCTGGTTTTCAGACACCAGGAGCTGTCACAAAGCTGCTCTGATCCTGTCCAGGGGACTCAGTGCTATGCTCCACTGGTCAAACTAGCCTGGAGGTTTGAGCCCCCCCCTGCCCCCAGCCCAGCACTCACCTGCATGGCAAAGTCTGTGGTGACACAGCCAACCTGGACATCAACAGGTTCAGTGTCACAGTGCCCCATGTCCTGCTGGGCCTGTTTGAGGTTGCTGGGTGTTATCCAGCCTTCGTCGTCGCTCTCCTCCTCCTCCTCTTCCTCTTCACCAGCACTGGTCCCATCCACAGAGCTGTGGTGCTCCTTGGAGGGCTCTGGGTTAACAGAGATGGTCTGGGTGTCCTGGGTGGAGGAGACAGTCAGGATGGCACAGAGGGGTTGGGAAAAGCCATCCAGAAATGAGGGAGCAAGGACAGAAGATTCCAAAAGGCTCTCACCAGCAGCTCCTGCAGGTCCTCCTCAATGCTGGGCAGGGGCACTCGCCAGTACAGGAAGGAGCTGAACTCATCACTCTCCGAGGGGACTGTGCTCCTCTCAGGGCTGGGCTGGCCCTGGCCCTTCCCTGGGTGCTTGTGCTGGGGGGCACAGGACGGAATCCCTCACCCACTGCTGCCCAGGGCTCTGTGGGCCTGCATCCCCTTCCCCTTCCTTCTCCTTCCCCTTCCCTTTCTTTTCCCCTCCCTTTTCCTTTCCTTCTCTTGCCCCTTGTCTCTCTTCCCTTTCCCTTTCTTTTCCCCTCCCTTTTCCTTTCCTTCCCCTTCCCTTTCCTTCCCCTCACCTTGTTGGGCAGGTGGAAGCCAGCGACGTGCAGAGGAGCCTCGGGGTGCCTCGGGGTGGAGCTGAGCTGCACCTGAGGAGGGAGCACAGGGGTCGGTGTGTGCTCCAGGGTCCGATCCCATCCCCTTCCCTCCCCCGGGGGTCCTGCGGCTCCCTGCGGAGGCAGTCAGAGCCGTCGTTCTCAGCCTGCAGTTGGCAGGTGAGCGCCAGCACCTGCAGATCGGCGGCTGAGAGGCTCGGGTAGTCCCCGGTCTTCTTGGAGAACTCGGTCACTGCGGGGCGAGGA